TTCACATTAAAGCTGTTGAAAAGTGAAAGGAGTGTCATCGACGCATTATTGTCATTGCTATCATTAGCAGGCGACACTCAGGTTTTGTAACCAAAATTTCACTTAGTTCCATTTTAATAGCGATGCGCTGCTATTTGTGTCATTACTGCTTGTTGTTGTTGCTGTGCACGTATGCTATCCGCTGTTGTTGCGACAACAAATGCCGGTGAAAAATTACGCCTAATGTTGCGGCTCACATTTCCGCTTTGCCAGTTTTAATTTGCTTTCAAATCGGCGGCCTCGCTGGCTGTGACTAAGCGGCGCGGCTGCATAGAGGCGAGGCGTGATGGGAGGGAAATAGCTGTTGCGCTTTGAAGGTGTGTGATGAGTTTCCGCACATTGTTCGCCTAATTTCCTCACCTTGTGCTAGCTTTCTTCAAGGCTGCTGATGATTGTTGTTGTGACACATACACATATGCAATTGTTTTTTTTTATATGTATGTGCGCGTGTGTGACTGATTTATGCAGAATGTTAATGTATATCTTTAGTTGCTTTGACACACTCATTGTCACGCACCTATGCACATATACCCACCCATGTGTGTGTGAGTGTGCTATTTGATTATTTAAATCACTGAAAATTTTCTCATTTTTGCCATGGTAAAGTTTCCTCATGCGAGTTGGCGCGAGTTGAATTTTCGTTGGTGGCTCAAATTAACTTTTGTGTGAAATTGTCTGCCAAATGAAGGCTCTGCGGCAAAATTGGTTTTGAAAGGTTAAAAGCATTTGTGTATTAGACACAGAAATCACTTGATGGGGAAATAACGATGTATAAAGTTTTGATTTAGTCAAATAAAATCTTGCTCAAGGACTTCTTTTCTACGTGTGAATAATTAGCCAATTAAATAATTTATTTGATTGAGCGAATGAGTTAATTAGGAATTAGAAATTAGATATTAGGCACATTATTAAAACTGCAACGACCGTTAACCAAAAATATATCAAAAACTTCTATTTCTGGGTACCTCTCGATTGAGACTCATGCATTGCTTTTTTCAAATAAGTGCAAACCCTGTAGCAAAGGATTGGATCAAGTTTGAAATATCTGCTGTAAAAGCATTACACCACTTCACTACTGTGAAATAGAGGTTAAAACTGTGGTAAAAGTGTAGTAGTCGGAAGGTATGCTTTTGCTCCAGCATACAAGTAAAAAGCCACCCAGCAGTGGCTCAAAAGTAATGCTCCTAGTTGCATAGCTGCAGATGGTTGGTCACCTAGATGTTCAGTTTTGAATCCATTGGACTACAATTTGTGGTAAGAGTTAGCGAAAATGGTCTGTCGAATACCCCACCGATTTTTAAAGAGTCTCCAAAAATCCTTGGTTCGAGCAGCGTCGTTAATATCAATAGAAATTATGCGTGCTGCTGATGAATGGCCGAATCGTTTGAAGGCTTGTGTGATAACATTAGGTGAACATTATTACGTAAAATTAACTTTATTAAAAAATGTATTATACTTTCATTTTTATAACATGCAGAACTTGTAACAGAACTTATGACAGGAATAAGCCTAATATGTATGGTATATAAGACCAATATTTTCAAATAATGCAAAGATTCATTTAAGAACTAAAGCGAATTTGTTTACTTTGATTTCCTACGAATGTATTTCTCAACTCCATCACGCTTTCGGGTATGTGGCTGCAGTAACAATACCACCGAAGCCGCCTAAATGTAGGCAACGATTTAGAAAATCACTATATTACTATTCTAAAAAGTAATCACTATATTACTATTCTAAAAAGTTATTATAGAACAGTGATGACATTTGATTGATATTAAAAAATAAGCATGACCATTTCTGGAAGGAAATACTTATGCAAAATGGCTAAAGCATTGAGAATACAATACAATGACAGAGTTTGAAGAAAATCGCTTAAAACATACTTTTGGCTTAATTAAGCACCGCCAGCTTTTACAAATTCACTGAAAGAAATGCGAGTAGTGCGAATAGTACCGGCATTACTATACCTTTTTATCTCTGAACTAACTGTAACAGACAAGCCTGGGCTAAGGGCTAAATATAAGGCCGTTAACCCTAATTTCGGCAAGTGTACAGTAACCACAGCCTAACAGGCGTTTTGGCCTACACGTCGCCTATACAAAATGCATTACACTGCAAGTGGAAGCCACGAACACAGACACCTACATATACATATATACAATACATACATTTGGGAGAGTATTTAGGTAGCTTTGTGGCACCACTCATGCAGTCACGCACAAAATTGTTGATGCGGCGCTTCTCCTGCTGCATAATCGAGCTGGAACAATATACGCACATATACATATATAAATGTATGTGTGTGTGTAACAGGTAAGTGTATCTGTATGCCAACATTGCACTTGCCGCTGTTTTTATTGCTGCGGCTATGCGGATGTTATGCTACATGAGCGTGTTACAAGTGCAGCAGCACATGTCCGTGCGAATACAAGCACACACACACACACGCACTCATTTATGTAGGTATAGTATGCATATTTGGTGCGTGAGTACCAGTACAGAGCGCATAGCGCTGGTGTCAGTTGTCATTGTGGTCGTGGTAGCGAAGTGCTGTCATCTTCACCTCATTTACGGAATGTCGGTTAAGTGTGTGCGTCTGAAATGTGCCAAGAACACGTGAACATTTACCAGCACACAGGCAATCATGTATTATATACATATATATGTGTGTATGTCTGACCATACGCAGGTAACTGTAACATGGCATTCGGACCTGCGTGCATACCTTTCCATGCCACAGCACACACGCACTCACATACTAACACATACACATATACATAGACGAGCGCCTGCATGTGCACATTGTTGCCGCATGTTCGCTGTTGTTCGTATGGTGTTGCACATCCGCAGATAATGCAACTGACGCACTTGGTGTGGCCAACTTTCTGCTGTGCTGCTCCAATTATCCAACAATGTGGTGGCCATAATTCGAGGTATGCAGTTTATTTAGCTTGCATTTTACAAGTGTTGGCACTCACACGCATGCACGCACTTACTTTCACATTATATATACATATACATATATGAACGGATTTGTGTTTGTGTGTGTGTGGGAACGAGTTTGCCAGCTTTAAATGAGCAGCAAGTGATGGCTGTCACAGCAAAACGCTTCTGCATTTTCATTCATTTGCACTTGGTCCCTGCACTGTTTGCTGCCACTGTCCTTCTGGTTTGCTTGCTTTTTTTCTCGTGCTACTAGAAAATATGTTGCTCAATTGATAGCCAAGTGCTCTCTGCTAGTAGTGTGCCATACCTCAAGTTCTTATTGCGTATTTTCCAATTTAACAAAGTGACCGAGCTCATCAATTGATCCCAGCACTCATTTTGAAAACTAATTAATGGCTTCCGACTTTGAACAAGGTACTACATGCATATTTTGACTGTTAGCGTGAATGGTTAACGATTTGAAGTAATTGGTTTGAGAAGACCTATGTTCGATCCAATCATATAGAGAACGCTACCCAACCATAAGTTGTCAGTAGTCTGTTAATGGCTTAAAGGAGTTATATTCACTTGTGAATTCCAAAAAACAGTTTTTATGCATATAGTATATAGAATGTACATAAAAAATTTTCCGAAAATGTTAAGTTGTTCCAGCAAGCAGTTGTAAAGAAATTACCGTTTTAGATTTATTATACTTAATATAACCGGCTCCCAAAACTTGAAACACGTTTTTCTCTAAACGTTGTTTTTTGAGTCAGTCATTAGAACCGATCGACTTAAAATTTTTACACGACCTTCTTTGATATATTTGTTAGATGATGATCGAAGAAATAATATGCTTGATAACAATTTAGATTCTTAAGCCTCTATGAAGTGCAAATTTTTCTCGTATAAAACTAATTTTTTCGGGATGCTGCGATTTTGTTAAATATCAAAGTTTCGACTAGTCTTCGATGATTGCCTGTATTCATCTATTGTAATATTGGTCTTCCCCACAGCCAGATAGCTGTTTTGGGAAGTCTTCCTTGCGCTCGGGTAAGGCAGATGATTATTACTGTCGATTATTAAGCCCGATTTGAACTATTTAATTTTCAATAAAGATTCTGTTTAGCTCAATATTTAACTAAATACTGCTTCCAGAGAATTTGGTTTTGTGAATAACTATACTAAAAATATAGATTGTTGAATTCAAAGCAGCTTCGTCAAAACCTCTCATAAAAAAGTAAAGGTCTCCAGAGATTCTTCTAGTCTAATGTAGACAGTTTCTATAGAAACAAAACAATGTGCCGGGATTATGCAAAGTTGTTGGGGATGAGCCTAGGTTTCTGAAGGTTTCTGATTTGGTACGGCCAATTTTCGACAGATTAAGAAAATTAGTAGAATTACTCATAATGAATTGAATATTTGTGTTATGCCTTTCCTTCACATTTATTTTAGTTGGTGGCGTAGCAACACGCGCAGGGTAAGCTAGTTGAAAATACAAATTTCGAATGATTTGAGTTTAGAGAATTTAATGAGGATTCAATGTTGCAAACTGGCTCCAACAGAGTAGAGCTCGAGCAAAGCGAACTGAATAGCAACGAATCCAAAAGCATACGTAACACAACCAATACTTCACTAAAATATTACTGAACTGAATTTATATGCGATTATATATAAACAATATCGAAGCAGGTTTCAACCTGTCACATATTCATAATTCTCTTCGAAACACTACACAGCCTTGTATCCTACATATTGTACATTTGTAGGTATTTATGCGTCAGTGGCAGTGACTTATGACGTTTACTGATTGCTCGTCTATGGAAATTCGGAGTTTCGCCGCAACTTCATGGAACTGATACACATTACATATATACATATGTATATATGAGTTGTGGCACATAACGCAGTCAGGTGTTTCATAATACCTACACCCATACATCTATATAAAGACATATTTACATTCAAGCATAAATACAGTTATATTATAGGGTATGGGTTATATGCTTGTAAAATATTTAGCGTGTACTTACCGTTTAGTACGTGAACGCGTACGCTGGCCACATCTGCATTCGATGGCGCACAGGAATATTTCCCCGAATCGGCCAAGTCGGCATTCTGTATGAGCAGAAATGACGTAGTAACATCGCCCTTTTCGGTAATTACCGAAACACCGCCACGTGACGAATCATAATTGATGACCTGTTAAGTGTCGCGCATGCATTTGATTGGAAAGAGAGGGAAGACCAAATATCGATATGATAAGATAGCGTTAATTAGTATTGATGTAAATGAGCAATTATAATTATGTGTGCTTGCGGGTATGCAAGCTTGTATTTTATATGCGAGATTGCATGCATAGAAATGTACTTTGGGAATTAATTGGAAATAACAAAGGGTGTGCTGCGAGCAATCAGAGTAGTTATATTAAATTGATATAGAAAATTATAGATTTTCTTAAATAATTAGTATTCTTAATTTATAAAGTCATTATTTTTAAAAAAAGTTACTGTATATGTATTTCTTTTTCATATCATGCAAACAAAATACTCTCTCACTTATAACAATTTTTAGACAAAATCATGTTTACTAGTTTTACTGGAGTTGTTCAATGTTATTATCAAATTTTTGTCGAAAATATTCAGAAAACTTTTTATTTTGGTTTGTGTAATATGATATTTATCTATCAATGAATCCATTCATAATATTTATGGTTTAAATCAACTGTGTATAATCTATGTAAATGAAATTTAACTACGAACATTTGTAGATATTAAATTATATACATACAAAACCACATGTCAACATTGTAAACCAAACTGAAATGTCAATCGAAATCTTCCCGCTTCATCTCCAAATATCAATAACGTTATAGCAACTAATTGCCTGCCACATAACCTTGACCATTGACAGTGTCAACAATATTCACATCAATCAACATCTTATCTCCAACAATTTGCCACTCAAAACGTATTTTCACAAACATTATGGAAAATGTAAAAAAAAAACGAAAATATAATCATGTAGTGCAAATTGACTTAAACGAGCGCAATTTGATATATCAGTGTGATGTTCAATAAAAAAAAAAATAAAAATAGAGAAATAAAATTTTGTTTTAATTCTAAATCTTTTTTAAAATCAATATTTTTATATTACAAGTAGTACGACTTTTTTAGATTTGAAAATGGGAAGTAGTCTCATTGGCCTAAAAATACTTTTATAGAATTTTTCATATAAGAAAAAAAACTAACAACTTCGAAGTTCAGTAGTAAGTTCCACAAAGTATTTTTCTATATTTGAGTATATTTGCCATAGCTAGTTCTGGCTGCGGCGTGCGATTTAAGAGTTCACTAAAGACCCTTCACTGTGATAACGATAAACCAATTTTTACTTAAATTACGTTTTATTTAGAAATGAATTCCAGCTCGTATCGATTAATAGTTAAGGGTCGGTTTCAGCAAGTATCCGCACCGAATTGGGGTGCCGACGAGGCGTTCTAAGAAATCTCAATCTCACTCTCCAGAATTCTTTCATTATCCATTTGTAAATTTTAAAAATCGAGTTTGTTTTTATATATACAATAAAAAAGTAGATCCGGAAAATATTTTCATAGGTATGAAGGCATTTGTAAGAATGCCGTAGTATTGTCAAAATTTTGATCAGTCCTTCGATCATTACCTGTACACATTTAAGGTTATTGGTTTAAGGATTTGAGAAACTTTTAAGCAGAAACATCATCCTCACCGCCAGACACTTTTTTTGGTGGTCCTGTTGGCGAACGGCTACGGTATCCAGGGAATCCAAAATTGCCTAAATACCCTACATAACGTAAATACTGTAGCTTGCTGCAAACTTTTCCAAAGTGTTTAAAGCGAAAACACTTACTGACTTCTAAGACCAATCTCGTTATAAAGTCATAGAACAAAAGGAGAAAGAATGAAATGAAACAAGGAAGGCTTTCACTATACAAACTTTTAACCGATATAATAAAAATCAAAGCCTGGCCAACTTAGCGTAAATCGACAAACTTAACTGTTCCAAAAAATTTTTGGACTCTCAACTCTCCCCCACGCATATCGTGTTAGTGTCCATCTACATAATACATTTATACTTCAACAACTAACTGATGTGTTGCCCATACATAATGAGCCCAATTGGCATGATAACTTTTAACATTTGGCATTCGAATTATTATACAAATATGTGTTTTATGCCAGCGAACCGATTCGAAGCGCTTACGCACGTCATTGCCGCAATCCAACACGCCACGGCACACTGGGCTTGGCTTGCCGTAATTGCCTGCATTTCAATTGGGCTTTCCACTTTCTTCTTATTCCATTTTTCCTGGCTGTCATAAGAGACTAGTTTACTCGAGCTTTTGTGTTGTGGTCCTTCGATTGTTATAATGACTTTGATTTCGATTTGCTAACAATTACCCAACAACCGCGCCTACCGTACGCACAAACATAGCCACTTATGCTACATACACACACGCACTTCCGTCATTAGCTTTAAGTATGTGCCTACTGCTTGACAAGCGCTTTACGTCCCTTTGTGAAGAGGCATTGGCTTGTTAAGGGGGAGGTGCGGCGTTTGTCAGGGTGTTTCCGCTTGCCTTGATGGCATTTCCACTTGTTTTAGTTTTCTCTGTTTGTGTTGGTTTTGTGTCGTCGTTATTCATATTATATTTACTTTGAGACTTTTTCCACTTGCCTGGTGTATTTGCCACGCCCTTTGTTTCTGTTGCGGGCGGCCGTGGCTTGTGCTGTTGATTGCGATTAGAAAATAAGATTAGGCAGCGCTTCTGCGGTTCGAGTGGTAATATATATATATGTAGTAGGGTAAGTGGCTTTAGACATCACTAGCAGCGCTGACTAGTTGTATACTTATGACACACAAAGGCAAATGTTCTCGAGTGGAAAGGGAAGTTGTAATATATGTACCTATATATTGTCTAAGGATGGTTCTTATATACAGGAAAATATTTTCTACGTGCGAATAACTAAAATTTACCATATATCATCTCAACTACATAGTCTAAGCCAAAAAGTATATTCTTATATTTTCGTCTATTTTTGCCAAGATCTTACAAGTAGAACTAATCGTTTAGTTTATGTGAAAACTTACTAATCGTTTAGTTTAAGATTATGTGAAACAATATTCAAGGACAACTAAGGAAATGCAGTAGCAGGGACGCTCTCTAGCCTTTGTTTCTGTTCACAGTCTTAAAAAGTACGACGAAAAAACAGGTAAACTTACCACGATGAGAAGATTTAAAAAATATCTTAAAAAGTGACGGTGTCTACAATCTCGGAGAATATCTCGCTTTCATTGTCATAAAACAAAAATTATAGAATTATATCAGAGATCTTTGTAGTCCTTTGAAAGTTAACTTAAATTCGTTGCCCAATATTGTCTTCCCCTCCAGAGAAGAGTGTGATAGGGATGAGGTGGACAATGACTCAGAGATAAACTAAGACTAGATAAACGAGTGGTCTTTTTAGTAAAATTCGATACCCGAATCGGCTTCCAACTATTATATAACTACAGTGTCTTTCTAGCAGAGATCAGCAAATAAAGAAAGCCTTCTTGTTCTGACAAAGAGTGTGCTTACAACAAGAAAAATATTTACCATATATCCACAAGCGTCTTTGAGATCATTTAAGCCTCCAACAAGTTCCAGGACACACTGATATTTCTGGTAACTGTGAAGCAGACGAACTAGCCAGGTCAAATACCCCCTTACAATTAGACTCAACTATCCGTAACGGCTCTCTTGTCGCAGTAGTTGCACTCTTCGTCTTGATGAACTTCATCAAGTCCACAGGTTGGTTCAGAGATAATAGGGTAGTTTGAGGGGATTTTAGCCCCGGTAGTTTCACCATGGGCCTCCTGAGTAAGACGAAAAAAAAAATTTGCTTGTTTTTTTAAGGAACCACCCCAATATATGGAATAAGTCTGTTTGTATAAACAACTGCAAGTATCTATAAATTTATAACCATTTATATGCCAGATAGTTATCTTTGCTTAGCCTAACGTAGTGCCCCCAAAAGCCACCCTCGCACAGCGCCCAAAAGTCAATGACTTGTTGTGGTTTTCATTTGTTTCTTCTGTTGATTTTATTGTAGCCAAATTATGTGTCAACTTTTATGTTGTTGCTTCCTAATTTGTTAGCGCTGCCTAGAGTTTACTAGGAGCACTAGCACTGGTGGTTGTTGTTGTTCTCGTTCGCTTGTTAGCTATGTATGTTGTTAGTGTTGTTATTGGCATTTACTATCACATCCTTTTCGAAACGATGGCAAAGTTTATTGTGGTGGCACCATCTCAGCCGCAGCAGCCTTCCAACACACACACACACATACACCTTATCCTCTACATAACCACTTACCAACTCTCCCACACCGGCTCTCAGCGACCATATTGACTACGCCCACTCGTTTCTTGGATGAATAATGTTGGTTGCCTGCATGTGCTTGAAATTCTTTAAGAAACTTTGCTGCTTCTACGAAACTAATAATCTCGTCGGCAAACTTTTATAAGCATTAAATTTGTACAGCGATTAAGCGCCAGAGTTTTCGTGCACTTCAAGCTTCGATTGTTTGGCCTCGTAGTGACGTTGCACATCGCAAAAGACGTGGGAAGTAACAACTGTTGTGAGAAGCGAACGCTTTTTGTTTTACTTCATTTGTTCTTAATGTGTTTAATTCATAATTGTTATTTTCATATTTGATAGATGCTTTAATGACTGCCGTTAATTGAGTCTAACAAAGTGAATTAGTTGTCCTTTTGCATACAGTAGGATGTCGATGGCTCCATCTCGATCTCACTCACACCCACTCTCCCCATCTTTCTTTCTTTCAAAGTGAGTTCTCTTTTCATACATCTCAATGAGCTTCTTTTGGCACAAGGAAAATAAGACTTTGCCCTACTACTAACACCATCGGCCGGCTTTACTAGGTTACCAGAGTTCTTAAATTTGACAATTATATTTTTGTACAAAATTCATTTAAATAGCATTCGGCACTGTTGTCTTTTTGTTGAAACATCATCAAATTCTTTTGTAAATTACTGTCAAAGACCGACAATTTCGATAACTCTAAGCCGCGATATAAGTTTACTTGGATGTCTCGAATGATTGTTGTTATACGTTTAATAGATATCTATTTTGGAAACAAATTTCATAGATCAATGAAGTAATTCTTGAAATTCGTTTTATCTGACAAGTTCTCAAAACAGCCGTTTCTACGTTAAATCGAACCGGATATTATCCATCCAGGTGCTGCTATTCCTCTTTTGTAACTCTGTTTGGATCGATAAGTAATAGTCTAACTGCCGTAATAAAAATACATCAAAGATAAACTTTTGATATAGTAATTGAGTAGATACAGATATTCTTGATTAGGCGCAGTCAAAAAAAAGAACTTGTAAAATTGTATAAATTAAAGGTTAGATTTTAAAGACATTTTTTTTTTGCCAAACATTTTCTTATTTTATATCTTATTTTTTTAAAGAACCATCTACATATTATGCACGTACACTGTTTACAAGTTAGAACTTTTACAAGCTTTCATACTATAAGTTTGCAGCTTTCACCTCACGGTAGTATCATAATTTTTTCCAACGTAATTCCTTTGTATTCATCTCATCATTAATTTTATCGTTAAAAACTTTTCTTGCTTTTTTTTTGTGATTTATGATGAGCTTTCGTTTTAGTTCACAAAGCTTAGCTTTTGATAGAAAAAATTGTTTAATCGTTTTATTTAGATGGCGCTTGTATAATAAGTTAAAAATTTTAGCTTTATTTATTTTAAGTTAATTATGAAATATAACCTCTTAGTAAGCTCTTTGCGCTTTATCAAAGACATTTTAATTTATATTGTACACTATGTATAAGATTACGATATTTACTACAATTTTAATTAACAAATTATATTCCTTTGCAAAATACCAGAAAGCTCATAATTTAAATTGCGAAACAAAACTAAAAAACTCCCAAACTATAACGGCACGTGATCAGCGTTTGGCATTGAGTTCAAATTGCAGCTCAGTGGCATAAAGTATTCATTATGCAGCAGCGCGTTCTTCTATTTGAGTTTAAGTCTTACACTCCACTGAGTGCTGACTGAACTCCATGCTGCTTGTACTAGTATGCCAGCAAGTCCACTCAGAATGATCACGAAATTATATGATTTCAATTCATTTTAGTTAAAATGCATCTCATTTATTTCAAATGTTGTATCAAGTCCCTTGCTTTCAAAGTAAGCCAAGGTTTGGGTGTTTTAATTGTTTTTGCGGGTGTAAGTGGGTGTTTTTCTTTTTATTTAATTATCTATTTATTTAAAATGTTGCACACAAATATTTTGCCGGCTTACGCGCTTTGTATATCCTTAACCCGATTTTTCTCTCCATCCCTCTCACTCTGCTGCTCTGTCGAGCTAAACAAGTAAACTTCTTAAAATGGCTAACAACGTGCGACCCCAACGCTGATACCCTCATTAGTACCGTAATTTGTCGCTTAGTTTGGTGCGCGGACATTTGACTTTGTTTTGAGTGGCCGAAAGAGTCGAGGAAAAACCTAAACAGTTTGCTATCATTAGAGCGCTATTTTTTATTACTTTTTGCCACTTCAAGTCAACGCATTCTACTGCGACTAACACTTTTTTCAATAATTTTTTACCTATTTTCTTTTTTATGCATTATTTTGCATAACATCCTACGCCAACAACGCTCATTTGTTATTTAGCTTCCGCCTGCACTTACCAGTCCTATCCCGCTTCCTTTAAATTTTAATTAATATTTACAGTAGCGCGAGTGCCACTTGTACCCTTTAGCTCCCACGCTGCTGCTGCCCTCCATTCATTAGTTTATTTCTCGGTTCTTCTTCATTTTTTTTGTTTTTTTTTTTTGTTTATATTCCCACTTGACTATCATATCTTTATGTTTTGCTTGCGTGTTTATACTCATCTCATCGCGTTTTTTCCTCTCTCAAATTGTTTTTAGACAAATATTTGCTTATAATTAACAGGGCTAAATGGCAGCAGCTTATCTTGGCGGAGTGTGAAATTGGGAGTTTTGTTGTTCTCCTCAATGTACCTATGTATATCTGTATATGTATGTATGTACGTAGTAACGTCTTGAGTCTCGTAAACAGATTTATGCGTTGAATGAAAGTGACAATCCTTTTTGGAGCAAATCTAATTAGCGTTGAAAGCGTGCTTGCCAACCCTAAGCTATCATTAGACACTGTCAATGAGCGTAATTTTTTGTATTGTTGTTGTTTGTCCGGTCAAACAGATGCTTAGGTTATATTTTTCAATTGTTGGATTGCGTTGCTTCCCTAAACAAGATTGAGTGAGCTATTAGTTATTGTGTTGAGATGAAAAAAAGTTATAATTATGAGCATAAATTTGGCTGTGGAAGAAGAAGCGTTTAAAAGCTTTAAGATATTTAAGCTTAAAGTGTTTTAGGTGTGTCGGAAGGGATTATTACCATTATATACGTATATTTTGAGAATCAAGTCACCCAACTTGAAATCTTCTGAATTTTCTCAACTATAACATATTTATCAGCGAAAGAAGAAACTTTTAAAGCTTCGGTTCAAGATTAAACGAGAACACACTATCGTTTTTTGGTGGATTAGGTGAACTAACTAAACTATTAGGAGATCCAAATACTGTGTGTCGGATCAGCAAAGGTGTGTACTTCTTCTCCTTCTTTGGCACTACAACCGTGAGTCGGTCTGGACCTAGAACACAAACTTCGCTAGATGTCTTAATTAGTTGCGAGGTTACGTCAATTGTGCATTCCAAATGAAGATGGTCGGTCGGTATGCAGTTCGTTCTTCAATTGCATGCGTGGGCGCCCTAACTCCCGTTGTCTACCTATGGATCCCGAATCAAAGGAGCTTTGCGCTGAATCATCATCTTCCATGCAAACGACATGCAGTGTAATCGTTGGATTTGACGCGCTTAACTACGTTATCAAGGTTGAGAGAAAATAAAAAGCAAATATGTGCTATGAATTTGCAACAATTTTAGTTTAGTTTCCTGCTGTTAAAATTTATCTAGTGAATAAACTTACTAACTGATATCTTTATGTGCTCACTCTACGCATATTCCAGATATGAGTATCAAGAAAATCACAAGGAATATTTGTGACATTTTCTTTATGTAAATACTGGTCTTATCTTTAACAGACTTTAATTTAATAAAACGAAACCTGCGTGTGCTAGTTACCCAGAGCACCGCATAAAATACCAATAGCTACGTGCTTGCACACTAAGTGCTGCGGCGCAATTGAGCGCTGCCATAAATTCAACCAGTAATGCATTTCCACAAAGACTTTACCTAAACTTTCACTTCATTTAATCTAATTTTGAAATTACTTAACCAAAGATAAGCCGAATTTAATGCATATATAGCCTGCCATTTATGGCTAGCACAATAAAACCAACAATAACAATGGCATAAACTACTATTTAACAAGAAAATAACTACTATGCAGGCAATAGTGTGCGTGTATGCATTGCATGGATGTGTGTGTGCATAAAAATTTCAAGCGCAAATATGCTGGCAAGCACGCTTTTCACACACAGACATACATGGAATGTAGCAGTAAATTTTAATTACCTCCTCGTGATGATACCAGAAAATGTAGGCCGGCGGCTCTGGGCTGAATTTCACTGTGCATGTAAGATTTATGGTGCTGCCTTTGTCGACATGAAGGTCGGGTCCGCCAAGGATGGTCGCTGTTGGCACTGCACAAATACACGCACAGACACACACATACACGTGAACAGTTGGTAAGTAAGTAGCCACACGCAGGTATGCAAAACGAAGACGAAGATGACCGCAGCAGTTGTGGAGCAGTAATTGTAGCAGGTTGCGGTGTTGGCCGTGGCGTATGAGTGACCGACCGACCAGCGTTTAGTAAATTGTGATTGTGAGTTGTGGGCGGCGAGTTGGTTGACCGGCAGTGACACCAGAACGCAGTTGTGATTATGAAATATACAAATAAAAGAAAAAGAAAAGAGAGTGACGAGAGAGGGTGATTGTTAGTGTGAGTAAGCATTAGACAAACTGACATATAAACACATATTAGCGCGACATTAACACGCACTTTGCTGCGTTAGTTGAGTAGTTAGCGCGTGAATGTGAAAACTAAAACAGTTTATAGCGTGAAATTTATGCGCAAATGAAACGCAATGAGAAGTTGTGATGAAATAAAATTATGGGCTAAATGGCGGAAAGTTTGTAAATAAAGTTATGCTCCCATGATGCAAAGCATGAGCTGTTAAAGTGCAGTTATGGCGAGAGAGAAAGCAATGTGATTGGCAGCGAGTAGTGTGCAAATATATGACAATGAGTATTGAGTTGGCGTATGATATGAAAGGACACTTCATTTATTAAAGGCGAGCAGCAAATGCGCTGATGATAATATGTGTGTGCTTACTCGCTATAAGCACTAATGAATGCATATGCGGCTGTAAAGCTATTTCCATCAACTCGCTTCCATTTGTACTCACCCACAACGTTGAGTCGCACAAAATAGCTGCGCACCGGTTGCGTTGATATTTGGCATTCATACATGCCAGCGTCACGTTTCTGCGCCCATTTTATTTGCAACGTCCAGTCGTCGCTGTCCTGATGATGTGTCGCCTGGAAACGCTGATCCGAGGTGTACGTGTATGCACCAACGGTGAGTATGTGTATGTCACGATGCCGTATCCATGAAACCTATACGGGAGAGGAGAAAAAAAAAAATGTAAAAAGAATTTAGTTGCGCAACCATATGCACTTGTATATATGTATTGACGTTTGATTGGCTATCCTATGTGTTTGCAAAAAAATGTGCACGATTGTAGATTGCATTTGCCGCTTGACTGCATATTGTAAAATATTGCACGCTGGCAAATGCTCATATTCGTGATGTCATGTAAAAATATGCGTGAGGCATAAAATACTTGTATATGTGTGGTAACGCATAAATATATCCCTGAGCTGTAGGTGACATTGTTTTTTGCGCAAGTAATACCAATAATAAATAATTTTTTAAGAGAAAAAGTTTAAAAAACAAGTAAAAGCGTTAACTTCGGCTGCACCGAAGCTATAATAACCTGCACTTGTAAGCATTTTTTATAGCTTACAAAGGTTATAAAAATATTTTTATCTTGATTTTGATCGCTCAGTTTGTTTGATAGCTATATGCTATACTACTCCGATTTGCACAAAATATTCGGAGATTGTAGTGATACCTTAGCTAATAATGCTTGCCAAATTTAGTGAAGATCCCTCGTCAAATAAGAAACTTTTCCAAACAAGAACTTGAGTTCGATCGATCAATTTATATGATAGCTACAGTAGGGAGCGCAAATGAGTACAAGTTTGTGCAGCGCGTATTTCTTTCTGCATAAGTATATATAGTGGTCCAATAGCGGCGGTTCCAATAAATGAGCAGCTTCCTGAGAACGTGCGAAACATTTCAGATCGAAATCACAAAAACTGAAGTAGTAGTAGTAGACTAGTAGTTTCCGTATATACAGACTGACGGACATGGCTAAGTTCACTCAGCCACTCAGCCACTCTGTTCCAAAAACAAAATCAACTTGATACATTTGGATGTAATGAGGTCATACATAATAGTTACCCAAACGGTTAGGTTCGCCAAATAACTTTCCTCTTTATTATAATACACCTAATAATTCTAGTAAATAGTAAGATCTAAAGCGATTCTATCCATTTTATTGTCATTAAATGACGTACTCTTAAGTTAAGAAGAATATATCGCAAGTTGGCAGATATTTTCGGTATAAAGGCTGCCATATGCACTGAGTTCCTCATATTTGGTATCAGGGGCCTTGAAAAGTTATGGTGGTAGTGCACAGCCCAAAGAAATATTATTTAGCCGATATATATAAGTCGAGCCTGAGGTTGTTACTGATGCTCATACTCTGTTGTACGCTCAGCGTTTGTTCTTATTCCTAGAGGGATCACAGTTTATCCCTAACCAAGGGGACTTTCGCGATTTGTAGCAGGTTCAAATTTTTTCGAAATAGCTACCTCGAGTTGCATATCTACTAGTAAAGCCAAAGTCGCTCTATAATCAATGGCGATATATAAGTTATGTTTCTGGCTGCTTGCTGCTTGCTGAGCGGAGAAAAAGTTAAAGAAACAGCGCTTAATAATTATCATGTTGCTATCAGAGAGATACCAAATGATTTCAACTTCTCTTATGAATCGACTCAACAAATTTTGGTTAGTGATTTAAGTAAAAAGCGTGCCTTGTTCCAAAAGACTAGACTTGTTCCAAAAGATTTGCATCTTTTGCAAAAACCACGTCGAGTAGAACTCACAAAAGAGATGCTTTACATCTAATGACGATTGGTAGGTTCATATATATGACGTCAAAACTGTCCAACTGTCTGATGAATGGCGCTACAAAAATTAATCGAAACCGAAAAGACAAAATTCGCTGAAGGTCATCGCTGAGGCTTATAACAAGTGTATGGAAATTGGTTTAAGCATGCTTGTATTGACTCAGGAAGATTTTTTCAAGGTCATAATACAGAGTTTTATTGAAATACGTGAAAATGTTTTTTTGTCGGTCCGGATCTAATTTGATTACATGTATATCTACTCACTCAAAATGTGTCATTTGAACTCTTCTACCCTAACCTCAAAAAATGGAGTGCATTGAAAACTTCTTTTAGTTTTCTCTTTAAATAGAAAAGTAGTAATTAGATATTGAATTTTTGTAGCGCGCACACATTCAAATGCCATTTTCATGTTCTCAGCAGTTTTTTTCACTTTTTTATTATTTTTTTCCAATTTTTTTTTCTCATTGGCATAATCAATGTCAAATGTCACTTGTCGGCAATATCATTCAGTTTAGCCCCTTTGCAGCACCACTACGCTCTCAGCTGACCTCCAAGTATGCCTGAACTGCACCGCGCGCACTTCCCGCTCACCGCACTAGCAGCTGAAGCCGAAGCCGAAGCAATTACATTTTGCACACGGAATGCGAATATCACATTAAAACTGAGGAGAAAATGTGAAAATGTGCCACGAATTTCAAGTGAGTGCTTTTTTACCAACTTGTTATGCGCGAGGCTAGTGAAAAAAAACAACAACAAACACTAGCAAATACAACAATTAGAGGCATTACAATGAGCTTGCCACAGCTGCGAGGAAATATGTAATGTGAAATTGTAATTTTCACGCTTGCACAAAAAAAAACGAAAAACGAGGAAAAAAACAACAAAGAGGAAATTTTCATGCAATTGTTTTTGTTGTGCCATACCCATACGAATTTCAATGTGCACTTATGGGTATGTGTGTCACGCATACTACTTTAATTGTTGGCAAAGATATGTGCGCTATTTCAATTGAGCGCGCATTCTTGTTGTATTTGGCGTAATTGTTGTTGTTGTTGTTGCAGACATGATAATTCACGCATTATCCTGCCTGCGGATGTGCTACACCTCTTGTTGTTGTCGCTAACGTAACATACTTTTTGCCGCACCTTCTGCTTATTTGCCTTTTTTTGCTCTCTCCCTCTCTCTATCTCTTCTTCTGCAATTTTTTCAATAACATACGCTTGGCGTGTTTCTCGCTTGGTGTCATTATTGCCAGCTGACGTGTGTGTTGCGCTTCACGCTTTACTAAAACGCTGCTATTTGCGGTTCTTGCGCGCCTAGAAGTAGGCAACATACCATCATATGGCAATGCAAACGTCTTGCACATATGAGCGCTTCTCTGAGTGAGTGTATGTGTGTGTGCGTGACATGTATTCCGCATTCGTGTGAACTACACGCCTTTATAACTGGTAATATGGTCTTCACAGCTGCGCGCTTCGGTCGTCGTTTTTCATTTAGTGCGGATTAAAACTCTGCTTGGCTGCAGCTCACCCCACAGTGGGTTGTAGATGTCAGCAGAGGATTTAGAAAGTTTCGCAGTTCATAACTTAAAGCATATTAAATATCTTTATATATATTAATTAAGGCAGATTAGTTGGATAATATTTTTTATATAGTTTGTTAAGTTAAAGTATTTTTTTATCAATTTAAAACTTTCGGGATTATTTCTGAAAGACTAAAAAATTTACTTTAGTATCTCTGGTGTAATTTGGGCATCGGACACTTTATTAGAACGTGTTATAGGATTTCGATGATACTTTTATTGCTAGAGATTCATTACCATATAGTAGGTTAGTCCTCATATTGGTTACGGACCTTTAAAAATATTATAAACCTGCAGCTAAATCCATGATGAGGGAAGTTCAAACATTCCAATTCCACTGAAAAATCATCTACATCTTATTTTAAAATATTCACTACTCGGTATCTCAGTTGAGTGAGGATTGGTACGCTAGGATCAATATTATCAGATCACAAGATGTCTTTTAAACTACCTGCTCTTGGCAAGGTTGTAGCGGTTTCATCCGTACACTGTCTAATAAACGTACATGAGGTAAAATTTAGCGGATGTAATTGTTACAATTATCTAAGAAAAGACAAAATAGAAATACCTCGAAACTTTCTTCTTCAACGCCCAGCTTTCGCTAGACGGGGGCTGAAACAACTTTCACGTCATACTTTCGGTAAAAGGTCCAAAGTACTTCGTCGATACATAAACATCTAAAAGTCTCCTGTTCCACATATACTAAGTTTTGACAATCAAAAGTAGCCACCGGTCCATGTGCTATTACCCTTATCTCCGCAGGAGCGATTATTCCGAAACCTAATATAACTAAACCATACATATCTTTGCTCTTTGAACGTTTGCGTGAAAGTATATAATTCCGACCAAGGTTTTCTTCTTCTTTCAGCGATTATCGAGGCCAACTCTAAAAATGTGGTGAGTATTTAAAGTTGGAAGCATCGTCAGATATTACGTATTTGCAGAATGTGGCAATCAGAACCCATGAACATGTACTATCTCTAAGATAAAAGTTATTATGAAATTCTATTTATGCAAAAACTGAAAAAGAATTGTAGAAGACGGCTGATTTTGTCATCAATGAATGGATTTGATAAGGTATACAAATATAACAATACAAGAGTCCCTCTATTTAATAACATCATTCTGAAAAAGTGCAATTTACTTGATTCTATATTCGAGGCATCCATTTACTTTTCAACTACACCTAGATTGGCTTTTATTTGTGGGTAAATTTTGTACGAAATATTCTCGAAATTTTACGCAAATAAAAGCGATGGCAAATACTCTGTTTTTATTAATATTTGCCTCTGAAAAGGCTTTATTCGCTGCAGTGTGTATTTGTGCGCTGAAAATCAAAATGCTGTAAAAATAAAAATTGGAAACGTTGGGCTTATAAATAGTGATTCTTGGAACAATTGCCATTCGACATTCTCTATGCAGATTACACACTCATAATACACACAAATATCAGAAATATCAATATTTAGCCTCAAATTTTGAGTACACGCGTATACCCATTAAAAAAAAGATTGCACATGCTGAGATAAACAATATAGTTTTTTCAGCTGATTCATTGAATTATTGTTCTTGGTCGCATATCAAATGGGAATAAAAGAATTGGTAAATTCATAATATATACATATTTCAAAAATTCATAAATTATTTGAAAGATAGCTAAAGAAATGACATTATCTGCTCAAAATTCACTCAGTGTAGATTCAATTAATGGCTTATTGGGCTCTGAAAATAGTTGTCAGCTATGGCTGCTGTGTTACAAACAACGGTATGCGTTTCGGTATTTATATTTCGTAGAAAATGCGACAAAATATTTATGCTTTCTGGTTTTTAATAGTATAACCTAGTAGACAAAGGAATGGTTTCAACATATACATATGAAAAATGGGTATAACTCCGAACTCTAATGTACTCGTAAACTAATAAAAAAAATTTATTTTATTAGGGGATCATAATTACTCCCTGCTTGTATATTTAATGGCTAACTGAAACTATTTAAAGTTCGTAAGGTGTCTAAATGATGTCAGTGTCGTCAAAAATATTATATTCAGAGCGTTGTTGTAGAAGGCTTACATTTTCATCAGTTTAAAAAAGAAACTAACGAGAGGCGCGAAGCGCTTAATTTTGCTTGAAATTTCTTGAACCTCAGGAGCTTTCTTCGCTCACTATGCGAACGGTGATAAAATAAAACGTAATTTTTAATCTCGTCGGGATATTTTACTTTGAAAACTTTAACACAAATATTACCTCTCAAAATAAATAATTCTGGACCAGCTCTAGGCTAAAACTAATGAAAATTTAACCATGCTTATTTATACCAAACATATCGGTCATCATGAAAGGTTTTCCTAGATATACCAGGATTTAATGGTCGAAATAAATGAAACTCGTTCATACTTGTAGCTTTTATAGCTCTGATATATCCAATATAATGATCACATCTGTGGGTTGACGCTATTCATAATGTAATTAATTTTTTTTAAAAGAGTAATTCACTTGTTACCTACAATATTTGGCAAAACCATTTTCTTACTAACTATTCCAAAAGTGGTTACTTTATGAGCACTACCAACTTAGTTCCTAAATCCATAGTTGTAAGAGTAGTGCTTTTAAACAGTTGTTGTAATTTCAACCACAGCAGGAGTTCAATTACTAAAAATCGAGCAATGCGAGTGCACAGTTGAGTGACTCAATGTTTGTGAGTGTGGTGTGTGTGTTTGTTGTTGTGAATGTTCACAACACCTTTACGGTTAAGTACTTACCGTTTTGTTGCCCAAATTGCGTACGCGGCAACTCAAGTACGCCGATTTGCCCATTAATGCGGTGACATTGCGTGGCGTCGACGGATCAAAGTACGGCTCAATCCACTTCGGATGTACGTAGCCAACAGTGGTGTGTGGATATTGTGTTGTGCTCAAAGCGTGCAAATGCTCCTCCAGTGAATTGTAACTCTCCATAGGTCCTTGAACGCCACCATTTGTCATATCTTTTGTGGTGAGGCGAAAATGCGGAAAATGCCGAGAGGGGAGAGAAGAAAAAAAACAAAAACATATATGAGGAAAATTGAATATTTGAGCAATTGTGTTCAGTGTTTTACATATTTACAAAAACAAGGATGTGAATGGGGGAGCTAAAGGTTATTTTATACAGGTTCAGAAGAATAAATAACGGTTAAAGCATATTTGTGGGAGCTTAACATAAAAGCGCATAAGTCGAGATTGAAAACTTTTAAAAAAACTTTTATATATTGTAAATTTATACAAAGTTGAAGTTATGAAATCTAGTATCGATTTTAGTTTTTGTATTTTCTCTCTATAGTTTATAAACGATTAGGGAAGTGAGAGTTAGTGCACCAAGCTATCGATAACGAATCTCAACGATAGTTTATGGTTAGCCCTACTGAGCCCTTATCAATGGCATTAACTGCGATTGTTTTTACTATTCATTATTTTCAGAGTCGCAAATGATAAAGCCACTACAAGTATAACTATGATGTATTCGAAATAAAATCGACTTTAAAGTTAGTCCTAATATTTTCACCTCTTACTAAGTAGAATATGTTATTTATCGATAAGCCAGCAAATAAATTTAATACCGATTATAATAAATAACTCATAAGTTCAAAATAATTTTCTGCACTTGTTCCGATAAATGATTAGGGACACACGGTGAGACGGATAATTTAGTACACCTTAAGGAGTAAAAACCACAAAGATTGAGTGAGAACATTTATCGCATATTCTTGATTCTGAAGTCAGTTGTCATTTCAGGTCGTTAATTAGCAAGTTCGAAGTATTCTGATATTTATACACTCGCAACATGTTGCACAGAGTATAATAGTTTTGTTATACCTTAATTGAAAGCCAAGTCGGATCGATAGTCACGATAGTTAATACGACCGATATTATCGATAGTTCCTTCTTCTTCCTTCCTTCAATAAAAAGCGATAAAATAAATAAACTACAACATATGGATATACATAAACCGAAGAGGTTTAAAAAATATTATTTCGAAAAAACCTCTATATATCTGAAAAGTGATGCCACCTGACTGAAATTGCTTTGTTGAGTTTTATTGTTGTTAAGAAATTAATTTTAGGTAATAGAGAAATACATATGTATATTAAATAGAGATAAAATAAACTATCGTATCAAGCTAAAAAGGGAAGGAGAGTTACCACCTGCTTGAATATTTCAATGCAGCAAAAATTTATAAATCAAACTAAAACATTATGGATAAAACCTAAACAGGTTTCAAAAATAATTATATATTTAAAAAAAATGTTGCCACCTGGTTAAAATATAAAGTCTATTTAATTATTATTATTCGATCTATTTACGAATTAAATTCCAAGTAAGAGAAATGTATTAAATAGCGATAAAATATATTATCGGTATCGAGCTGAAGAGAGAAGGAGTGTTGCCACCTATTTGAATTTTTTCAATTGCAAAACCAAAATTATAAAGCAATTTTGAAAAATAGTTCCTGTAAATTTTTAAAAAGTGTTGCCACCTGGTTAAAAATTTAAGTCTAGTTTAGAATTAAAAAATAGGAAAGAGAAAATTACTAAATAAAGACACAATGCATTATCAGTATTAAAAAGTTTAAAATATTTTTTTTGGATCGTTGCCATCCATTTACAAACGTATGCTATTATCAATCGCCAGAATAACTTTCTGGTCTCTCACGTATATCTCTTTTGCATCACTTCGGTCCCAATCAAAGCAACAATCATCAAAAACTGATTGATTTTGATATAACCAGTTGTAGCGATTTCTTCCATGTATTCGTTCACATACTCAAAAGTGACTTAAAAGCAAACACTTGTAATAAATTTCACTTCAAATTAAAAAGAGTCAGAGGGCGCTGTGTTCGCAGAATACCAAAGAGATCCCTCTTTTTGCAACGTGCAATGAATGAACAATAAAGGAAGGGTGGAAGTGAGGTGAAATTGCAGCTCAGTCGCTTCTAAAACAGTAGCAAAAGCGCGCACAACTCGCTGCATTATGTGAGTGGTGAGCACTTTTCACCGAAATTTCAAATGCTGCCAGCAATTTTATTGTGTGCGCTTTCAAATCCCAACGAACTACAATATGGGCGTGTATCTACATATGTATGGGTGTGCATGTGCTGCATGCTGTATGCAAGTATTATCACATCGCCTCTTACACGCGCTTTGCGGTTGTTTTGCACATTTCGTGCTGCTGTTTGCACTTTACTTGCGTTACCACGCACTTTTTCACGCCTTTACCTCCAAACAAAGGAACTTTTAAAATTTCAATCTTTTCTATTTTTATTTTTATTTCTATTTTTACTTTCTGCCATATCCTTCCTGTGACAGCGTGAGGAGGATGCACAAGTAGTGGAAATTTCAAATGTACGGCAAGTATTATACATATATGTATATAAATATATGCATGTATATGTGTTTGTGCTCTTGCTTTATGTAAGAAGACCTGTGTATGTATGCGGAAAACACTCTCTTGCTCACTGTAAATCTACTGCTGCCTGTGCATGCTGGCAGTCACCGCATTCGCATAACTGCATTACAGCTGGAACGTCTTAACAATGCGAGCATAAACAAGATATGAGCCACAAGCTTTAGTGCAAAAAGCGAATTTTTGTTCAAATTCATCAGCACGCACCAAAATAAAGTTCATCTTCCGTTAGGGTGTTATGTCATGCGTGCAATTGCACACACACATGCATACTAGTGTTATTATGCATACACATGCATTACTGCACAGTTTGCATACACATGCTGTATATGTGTACATATATATATATATACCCATAAAATTTTATGAATATGTGCACTTGCACTTAAACTGAAAGTATTCACTTTCATCAAATGTCGAATTTGGTATTTCGCCTCAATGTGGTGTTGGTATTAAAGCCAAAGACTGGTATCTATTATTGCGCACTGTATTTGCCCAGAGAGGAGTGGTTACGTATACACAAGAGGTGGTCCTGTCAATATTTGGGATAACGCGTTTATTTTCATAAAAAAAGTTCTTAAATTACGCTTACTACTTTACACCTATCGCAACTAATGAGCTAATGTTTCATACAAATATATAGAGTCCTTTTTTCAAGTAACTACTTTCCTGGCAACTATAATAAATTTCATCAAAAATTATTCAAGTCAAGTCGATCGCGACTATACGCTATTTATATATTTTGACAGAGAACATACATTAAATTGGTCGAATGTTCTCTGATGTTAGTGTATGACTTGGGTAAATTGTACACATGCGCCTAAAGGCAGGCAACGTTTTATTATCGTTACTATTTATTATTTTCGGGCAGGTATAGAATAACAGTTAGGCAAAGTCTGAAATAATATACGAAACCGCAAACCAATTACTTAAATTTGTTCATATTTGAGGGTTTAGATACAACACAATATTCAATTTGGATCTGAGCCTCAAAATGTCTATATTTTTGTGGAAAATATCGGTCTGCCTATGAGTTAGCTTGTTGAAAGTTAGAGGGCGTATTTCTTGGTACCGAAAATCGATTTTTGAATCCGACTAATTTTTGTCGAAAATTGGGTCTTATATACTAAATATAATGACTTTTGTTATTCTCGTGGACTCTATCCTGAGTATATCTGTCAATTTGTGAGTTTTTTTTCCGAAAGTAAATGCAGTCAATTCATAATAGTGACTTTCGACTATACGGTCATTTCGTTTATTGTGTTCAATATATTTTGGCTATAAATAAAATCCAAGATAAACCAAGAAAAAACATTAACTCCGGTTGCACTGAAGCTACAGTATGCTTCACATGTGCATTTTTTATACGTAGCATAATAGAGTAGAAAACAATCTTTATTTCGACTTCGACGGACATGTGTAAAATTTCAGATCGATATCTCAAAAACTATAAAACTCATACACGTACATATAGACGTAGAGAGAGATGGACATGGCTAAATATAAAGATTATTCAGCTGTTGTGCCTTACAAAGTGAAAGTATAAAATGTTCGGCTGTACCCGAAATTTGCGCTTCTTTACTTCTCGAAATCGTAATCGTTTTTCTCGTTTGGCTGCTCATTTTATAAACTTGTACCTTTAAATTTCTTTCTAAACACGGATTAACTAAAAAACCCACTACGAAAGCATCGTCACTTTCATCAAACAAAATTAATAAGAAATCAATGATTGCAATTAAAGAAAAAATGGGCATCGAGGAGTTCGTATACAAAAGAAAGGCGAGCACTGATCCGATATTAATACAACAAAGTGCCAACTTTTTACCCGCATAATCTCTCCAAAGGTGAAATAAGAAAATGAAAGATATAAATCTTTAAATGACAAAAATTGTATGCACATAATCGCAGCCGAGCGTATTGGGGACCCAATAGGTATGAATGGGTAAAGGACGACGAGCGCAAAGGAGAGAGAAAATAACGAAATGGTGTCACACAGCAGGCAAGTGGGAAATCATTGAGTGGTCGATTGGACGGACGGCTTCGGCGGCTGGTCGAATGATATACTAGTACGATGTACAACAGTGGCCTCCTCATCGGGGAGCTTAAAGCGCCAGAGTGCAGCCATCAACGAAGATGAATGCAGAAATTAAATGAAAATGAAGAATATACACAAGCAACAGCAAAACCAAAAATACATAAATACAAACACAAAAAAGACGCGTAAAATGAAAAGTGTGGAAATTGAAGCCGAGTAAACGATGAAGTGGAGCATGGTCAGGTAAAATGTGTGTGGTGGTACGTTCATTTTGAGAAGCACCTAGTGATGGACACTGAGAGCATAAATAAAATGACAGCTCGCAAAATATTTTGAAATATATGAAAATAAATGCGAAATTCTAGAGGAAAGGAACTCAATATTTATATAATGTACATATACATATACATTTCGTATACTTAATATTTATATCCTAGAACTGACATATAATATTCCGTTGGGTATGACTTTCTGGATCTTCTTTGTAAATGAACATGGAATGTCAAAAGATTT